AGAGTACTCATGAAATCTGGTTCAGTCTGATACCTCAATCCACTTCCCATGCTGACAACCAGAGGCCTTAATCTTCACTCTGGCTGACGAATCCTCGTTCTCACTTTCATTCTTGTAGCATTACTGAACTCTAACCGAGCATAACCATGCAAAAATGCAATTCTCTCGAAAATTCAATGACCAAACACCCATACATTTAACACTCACAACTGAGTCCACTGTCTTAATGCTACCAGTCCTCCCCTAGTAATGGTAGTGCCTTGAACTCCAAAGTTCTTCCGTAGGCAGCTAATGATCATACCCAACAATGATATAACCACTGAACCCCGACTTCACTGGAGAACCATCGCTCTAATCCTGACCCAACGTCCCCTGAATAATACTCCTGTACCGATCTCCTCAAAGATCCGGAGTGATGATGGTATACGCGGAACCCACTCCGCAAGATACGTCCCTCTGTGGGTTCATCAAGGACCTTTCGGCATGCAGGATGGCATATATGATCCTTGATAACCCAAATACTAACAGAAAACCGACCTGAGATCTGTCCTGTCCAAGCTCACTCACAATTCCAAGGCGATACGGATTCCCAATATCCACCTTGGAGTGGCAAAAGATAACATATTCGCGTACATTTGGAGGAATACTGATCACCTTCAGCTGACATGACCAACCCTGCCACACCTGTAGCAGTCTACACCCTTGGAGTGACAGACTCCCTTATGCACTTTCTTGTACGTGCTACACTGTCTCAGGCCCTGCTGGCATTTCACCCGCTGATCAGAAGTCATGGGTCTCTTCCCAAGACGCTCTTCTATATGCACCTAGCACGCACCTCTCTCCTTAAGGTGCTCCAAATTGATTATCACATCTGCAACCTCTTGTAAATTATATCCTTCAGGGTCTGACACGCTCACTAGCTCACTTGCCAATGGCTAAGCTGCAACAACTGGAACATCCTCTGTTCCCAACCGAGTCACAAACTTCTCCCCGAAGCTTCTCAGATTCTCCAAGACTCTTACCGATTCGAGTATGGATCCTGTGCTTTCAATAGTACGGGCCCAATACTACCTTCCACACCTATCCATACTTTCCTCAGCAATCCTCCCGAATCCTCCAAGTCACTTCCTCAAACTGGTACACCCAAGTCTCACTGAGCCTCACTACTAACCCACTGAATCATATCCTAGGCTTCCCTAGGTTCCCGAACTCACCCAGTCCTCAGCTGCTGAAAGATCCCCAATAATGACAACTAGCTACCTCATGAATATAGCGAGCTCACATTACTAAGAGTCCCCCAAAGCACCAAGCAAGCAACATTCAGACAATGGAAAATCTAACCATCCTATTCCAATCAAACCTTTCTATCCTCTACTCAGGGATTTGTACATGCAATTCAAAGGTTCATACAATCAGGCATAATCTAAACAGGCTATCCTATCGCTGACTGATCAGTACTAGCATGCAGGTCTACAAGCACATACGGTAGGCATATAAGGCATCCTTCCTAGATCCTTAGCCCTAATCTAGCATGCAGTTCTCATAATCATATCATATCATAACATATCACAACATGTAATGGTATCTTGGGAAAACTTACTTGAGCTCGGCTGATTGCACGCATCACACACCTTGTTCTTTTTAAAGTTCTTTTCTCCATCCAAATTCTTTTTCAAACTCCTTTTTATAAAATGGTTTTATTTTTTTTTGAAAAATTTTCATACCATGTCCTTATTGAGTTTAGGCACACCCGAGAGTGTACCCGAATCCCTCAAACCAAAGCTCTGATACCAACTTGTAACAACCCAAAATTCAATGCCAAAAATTTTCATTTTTATTTATAAAACCGATCAATATAAAAACTTTCATAATAATATTTCATATCAAAAATCAGAGTGTCAATGATTAGAGTATCATAAAACTATATCAGAGTGTAATCCCAATGATCCAGTGTGCGGAAAACATAGTGTGATGTGCTGCGACCAAGCCGACTCCTTTCCTTTAAAACAATGTATCTGAAACACATAACACATAACACGGTAAGCACGCATGCTTAGTGAGTTCCCAAAATACCACATACATATTAGCCACTCGAGGCTATAGCTCTGTAAGACCTTCCGGTCAATGTGTCTCAGTGGGACCTTCCGGTCCCACAACTCTGGTAGACCTTCCGGCCCTACCATGACTTGCCTTCCGGCCTCAACTATGATTGCCTTCCGGCCATAACTCTGTCGACCTTCCGGTCCCAAATCATACAGCATATACATATCACATAAGTCACATAGCTCATACGAATATACATATATAAGACCTTCTCGTCACATATTACATAAGTCACATAGCTCATACAAATATATAATACCTTCCGGTCACATATCACATAAGGTCACATAACTCATTCATACACATAAGACCTTCCGGTCACACCTAGTTACCATTCCAGGTAAGGTATAGTGAGAAAACTCACCTGACACTGAAGTCCCGCAGACTCAATCCCACGCTGCTGAAGTCCTGCAGACTCAACCCCAGCTGCTGGATGACAGATTCCCGATCTGTCAATATCAAAACATCACCCAATTAATAATTGGGTCCCACTACATAACCATAAATACCTACTTTGGATAATTACTACATTACCCCAGGTTTGGCTTTATTTAAACCCAAGGCCCAATCCATAGGCCCAAAGTCAATTAGGAATCAAAGCCCAACATATGGCCCAACCTTCCAAACTGGGCCCAAGCCTGTACATGGTCTTATTCTGAGGCCCAACATCATGTAATCGTTAAGGCCCAAATTGTGGCCCATCTATGGCCCAATTTTCAAAATTGGGCCCAACCCCTCATATGGGCCTTACTTCAAAGCCCATCAATTATTCTAGTCCCTTTGCTTGATCTTGGATGGCCCATTGATAACTCAATCATCAAGGCCCACTAGAAAGGCTCAACAATAAACCCAAGTGAAATTAGGGTTTCACATAAAATGATGATTAGGGTTAAGTTTTCCTACTTAACCCATTAGGGACTTAATCCACTAAAGACTTAATCCATTAAGTCCAATATTGCTTAGATTAATTTTTGCCAATGATTATTATTTAATATCTCCAGTTATTAAATAATTCCCGTGTGTCCCGATTAATTCCACAAATTAGGGTTTTATTTGCATAATGGTTTTCCAAACCCTACTTAGGGTTTCCAACCCAAATACTAGCCCATTTATCAATTTGTTGGGCTTTTAGGTCAATTAGGGCTTTATTGGGTCTATTAGGCCCACTTGAATATCATTAAGCCCATTAGGGTTTATTAAGCCCATTAAGTCTCATTGGGCCCATTAGGGCTTCTTTGCGCCCATTAGGGTTTCAAGCACCCTAAACGAATCAACACAACGAGGCAAAGCACACCGCCACCCGACACGGCGGCCGGTGGCGGTAGAGGCGGCAGCCACCACCATACGATGGTGGTTAGGGTTTCTTTTATTATTCCATTTTTACAATTTACAAAGAAAATACCAAAATAAACACACACACACACAAACTATACTAAACCACACATACACGCAACCACCCTTGTGGTGGCCGGTGGTGGCTCGTGGCGGCAGCCACCATAGCTGGCGGCCACGGTAGGTATCCTTTTTGTTTTCCGGCCAACAAACACCCTCAACAATTTACACACCCTCGATTCCAATTTGTTCAAACGGTCGAGCCACCCACTTGGTGGCTCACGGCGGCAACGGCGACTGCTTCACGATGGCAGCCACCACCTCATGGTGGTGGCGGTGGTTTCTTTTGGATTTTCGATCAAGCAACCCCATGGAAAACGGCTTCAACTGGAATGAGTGCAAACATAGCACCATTACGCACACTCATAGCCACCACTCGCAGTGGCTGGTGGCGGTAGGAGGAGTTTGGATGTCGACAACCACCATGGTTGGCTGCCATGATGGCCCTCTTGCTCTCCAGCCAACATCACACGACGACCACTGAAATCCAGACGCATACACGAGCTGGAACACACAATAGAATAAACGGGGAAGAGGAGGAAGGTCGCAACCCCGCCTTGCAACCGGCAGCGGCGACAGATCGCGTTCTTCTACTTCTACTTCGACATCGACACTCGTCGGGGAACATCTCCGGTGGCCCACGACCTCAACCGGTCTACGTGGGTGGCGCTGATCGCCGGTTCTGGTGAGATTAGGAGGTGGCAACGCCGGGAATAAAAGATGGGGAGGTGAGGACGGCGGCTGGAAGATGGGAGGCATAAGGGTGGCGGCTAAAGAAAGGAGGTTAGGGTTAGGGCAACATGGGGGCAACGGGTCTTAAATCCCGTCTCCATGCAAACTTATAACGAAAATGGCGGAATTGGTCCCTCCCATTCCAATCTCTTCAAACAGAGTCCAATAGTTACCATTTAAACCCTGAATCCTTAAAATCCTTTCAACTTTGATCCAATATTTACCAAATGGCCCCTAGCCTCTAAAATCTCTTTAGATGAAGTCCCAAAAGTTACCATTTAGTCCCTGCCTTCATAAATACTTACAAAACTAGTCCGGAACTTACACTTTAACCTCCAACTTCTAAAATCGCGACAATTTAACCGTTGAAACCAGCACCTTACTATATTATTATTATTTATCGATTTTTGGATCACTACGCATTCGTAAATTTATTAATTTATTTATTTATTTAACTAATAAATAAACAGGGTGTTACAGTCGTACCGAAAATAAGTCAAAATGACAAAATCTATAAGTAGATTATAAGCTATATTTTAAAAAATGCTTAAGAAAAGTCATAGGCTTGGCCAAATAGCCCATAAATAGTATCTATATTCTCATGGGCATTTGGATGGTGGCTTTGATTCTGGAAGTCGCCACTCGCAAGCCACATATATGTTTCATTCCTACGTATACGATATTCCACTATCCTCAAACTGGTTTGCCAACAGAAAAAACAATTTATATACTTCCAATCGTTCTCTAATGAGAAGCAAATATTAAAAAAAAAAATGAAGATCACTGCCGCTACGTTTGTAAGCAAAATCTTAGAACGCTTAACGTCATTCCACCATATGCTGAGATGTTTGTGCCACTGGTCTCGAGCCATACTATCTTCTTTACTTCGGGCACTCCTCCTTCGACTGGACCCTTTTTGGCGGCAAATCTGGTACTTTGTTTCCCTATTCATGTTAGGGTACTTCGTTTTGGCCATTTTGGAGCCACAGAATCCTATGAATCGCCCAAAAAGCTATGATCTTCTTTTCACCGCTGTCTCAGCAGTGACTGTATCTAGCATGGCCACAGTTGAGATGGAGGTTTTCTTGAATACCCAACTCTTTTCCTTGGCAATTCTGATGCTATTGGGAGGAGAAGTTTTCACCTCAATGCTTGAACTTCAAATCCAGAAATTTAAGTTGTCAGAGAAGATGAAGAGCAGATCCAACACTTCAAATAGCGATATACACTTAAAGTACAACTCAATGATGTTTTTAGGGGTTATCGTGGTAAGTTACTTCGTTGCTTTGCATATAAGTGGATTTCTTCTCGTTTCTTTGTATGTAGGCCTTGTTACATCGGCAAAAGAAGTGCTCATAAAAAAGAATCTTAATATACAAGTATTCTCAATTGTTACCACTATCTCTACTTTCTCCAACTGCGGATATCTCCCAACCAATGAAAGCATGATGGTTTTCAAGAAAAACTTAGGCCTGCTTGTGATTCTAATCCCACTAAGTCTTCTTGGAAACACATTGTACCCTGTGTTCCTCAGACTTTTACTATTGTTTTTCGGTAAAATAAATAGTAGAGAGGAATTGAAGTATGTTTTAGATAATGAAGCCGAGTTGGGGTATTACCATTTGTTATCAGGGGTGCATTGCTGGTATCTTGCTCTAACATCTATTGGGTTCATAGTGATTCAGTTTGTGCTTTTAATCTCTATTGGCTGGAAATCTCAAGCCATGGATGGATTGAATCCTTCCGAAAAAGTAATAGGCTCTTTGTTTCAAGTTGTGAATACCAGGCACGCAGGCGAATCAGTCTTTGATCTTTCCCTCATCTCTCCAGCAATCATTGTTCTAATTGTCACGATGATGTAAGTATTCTCTCCCCTCTCAACATTGCTATACTATAATTTACGCGCTTAGTTACCTTCATTTACACAGATACCTTTAATGTTACATGATGACAAATTAGATTTAATTACTATTCGACTAAAACACAGAATTTCAATTCTACACGATTAGAATTGCTAGTGATCCATATGCAACAATAATACATACAGGGTCAACGAAACATGATTTAAGTTGTGAACGTACATACATGTCGGACGGATTTTAAACGTGAAATGATATTCAATATTGATTACAACGTATTGTAAGGTTTGTTTTTTTTAATCAGTTTAGACAAAAGGTCCCACCATATGCGCTTGGCAGGTAGGCAACGGTGTGGTCCGAATGAATTGAATGTTAGACACCGCACTTAGAACCACATATATTTCATATAATGCTTTTCACCACTCTCTATTGGATATTCGAACTTAAGTTATGCTGCTGGCATATCAGATCTTATCTCAAATACGTACTTTATATACATATATTCTACACTAAGGCTTAATAAAGTATATTTAGCAATACCTTTTCTTCGGAACGTACAAATCCTTTCTAATGAATATTTGTTACTTTTTGTCAACTAGCTAGATATGGATTTTTATGGGTAGAATATAAGGACATATTTTAGAATGTTATATGCTTTAATTCCACTAGTCACTACAACTATTTCATAATTTTTTTATCTAAGGTTCATACAATTTTAGTATTTGGTTACACCAAGTATATGCTGATACGGAAACACTAAATTTCTATCAGACAACACATGAAGAGATAGAACATTTAACAGCTATACAACTACATAGTATTTTATTTAAATTTTGAACAGCAAGCAAGTATATTACGACTAGGGGTGTGCTAGCTAGGGAAAAATAAAAGATTGCAAGAATCCTCAAAGGGTTTAAAGAGCACGTTATATCCGAAGAAAAAACCTTCCCAAAATTTGATCTAAAATTCACCAAAAATACAACTACAAACTATTATAAAGCTTACACAAGTAGAAGAATTTTTAAAGAACAGAAAAGAATACTAGTCTCACTTAGAGCATTGATTGGTGTTCTCTATAAGATGTTCTTTATTTGGCCATTAGTCAGGTACTCAGGTTGTCAACTTCGACATGTCATATGGTTTCTATAATTCATTTGTGTGTTCATCTCTCGGCTTGGACGTATCACTTTGCAAGACAGCAAGGTGATGGTACCCCACCCTTTCATTGTAAAGATTGTGATTGTGCGCTATCACAAAATATATATAATTAGTGCTATTGTTGTTTTAATATATATATATATATATATATACATATATATATATATATATATATATATATATATAAACAGAATTAAGAAGAAGTATGCTCTAATGTTATAAATTCAAAAGACTTCAATGTGTAAAATAAAAATTACCAAACTTCATATTGTGTACTTATAAGTCTGAGGAAGGTTGTTTGATTTGATTGACCAAATCGTGGTTAAAAGGAATGAAACTGTAATATTTATTACTATAGGTGAATCCATACGCAACCAATAAAATTATAAAAGTCAACATAATAATAGGGGTATCAAACGTGTAAAATTTTCGGGTTTCGGGTAGAACGGGTATTTTCTTAAGAAAATAATACCCGATACCCGAAAATTTCTTAAATGACACTTATTGATAATTTTTTTTTTTTAATATTTTTTTTTACATGTTGGTTGGTTTAATAAAGAATTGGGTAGGAAAATACTTCATACAATTAACAAGTACATATATAATAACAATACAAATGATTATAGTATGTTATGTACTTTTTTAATTCCATTCCAAATTTTGATAAAATAAAAAAAACCATGAATATGATTAGCATGGAATAATAGGTCTAAACACAACAAAAAAAGTCTAAATAATTAAAGTCTAAACACAACAAAAAAAGTCTAAACCCAACCCAACTAAACTATAAAAGTTTAAACATAACAAAAGAGTAAAATTCATAAGTCATATCCTAACTCAAAACATAAAAGTCTAAACATAACAAAAAGAGTAAAATTCATAAGTCATAACCCAACTCAAAACATAAAAGTCTAAACATAACAAAAAAAAAGTCTTGCATCTTCACGTTGTCATATTCATTTCCATATCCAATCCGAGCTCTAATTAGACATACCAACTTCTCCCAATCCTATACAAATGGAGGAGTCGATGAGGGTTAAGGGTAAACTGAGAAACTGAGAATTGCGATGTTGTGCGATAGTGAGAGACTGAGAATTGTGATGACGATTCAGGGCTTCAGCTTCAGCGTCGTATTCCCTTTGCAAGTTTGCGGCGACTGTCGAGCCGTCGTTCATAAGAAGGAAACAAAGGGTTTTGTTTTATTTGAAGTGTGCGTACGTGACTGCATTGTATATTTGGTATTATTTAAAAAAAACGAATCCGGGTATTCGGGTATACCCGAAAATAAATATTCATACCTAAAACCCGACCTATATTATTATCGGGTTAACCTATTACCCGAATGTTCATACCCGTTACCCGTTCTGCCCGACCCATTCTACCCGAATTCGGAACGGGTCGGGTGGATAGAACGGGTTTCGGATTTTTTCGACAGACCTACGTAATAACAAATATATTTTGTTAATAATATCTTAGTCATTATTTAGTAACTATGAATTAACAAAATTTATACATTAAATCAGATGATGCGTATAAATCTTTGTTATTATCTTGAATATTATATCAAAAAACATACATATACTAGAAGTTGAAGTAGAAAAATTGTAATATGTATAATGGTTGAATAATACTTAATAAATCTATGTATTTGTTATTTCAAACTTATATGTTATTTTCTTCATATTAAAAATATATAATAAAAAGTATCTAGTAATTACGGTGTTGTACATTCATTTGTGAGAGTTAATAAATAATAACATTTAAAAGTATAATAAAAATAATTATTTATCTTGGATGATATTACTTTAAAAGTCTGTTATTTCTATTGTAATAAATGAATAGTTTTAATCTCATTTTAACAAATGTCACTCTAATACAATTCTTCATTAATATTATGTCATGTGTCATTTAGATATATTAGGCAACTTATTTCAAAATTCAAATTTATATTTTATAATTATATGTTAAATTTGAAGTTATAATAATTTTAAAATTTTGATATATCTCTTAATTAATAATTTATTTAAAATGATTTATTTAAAATAATTGATTAATAATTATAAATTTTTATTATAAAAATTAATTATTTTTATAACCGTGGTTCCCACGGGTTATAAACTAGTAAGTGAATATAAATTTAACAGCTAGACAAACAAAATAAAATAATAAGAATGGTTTTTGTAGTGATTAAATTAATATACCGATAAATATCCAATAATAAAATAAACGGATAATGGTCCAAATAAGAAATGTTAATTTATTCTTATGAAAATATTTTCTTTTAAATTTATTGCAAATGAAGTGTCTCAAAATTAGGACATCCCTTCTAAAAAATCAATACATAAATTGAAGAAACCAATTCCATAACATAATGTAACAAAATATCATCTGATGATGGTAAAAGTAAGACAAAGAACCTACAATATGATTGTACATGCATGTCCATGTGAAAATTTTCTATTTTATATTTATCAATAATCATCTAACATAACTAAAACGTGTGTTAATTGCAATAAGTTATTGTTTTAATATAATAACGTTTGAACTTTATGATTATGACTTTAACCGCTATAACTCAAAATACATAACTTAAAAATTGTTTAATGACATTTTTGTTAACTATTACAATTCTTAAACATTCTACAAAAATTATTAAACAACGATAGCAATAAATAAATTTGGTTAATTGCACTAAAACAATTTTAGTATTAAAGCTCTCCAAACTCCATGTACAACTTATCTAACATCATACTATTATAACTCAAAAAACTATTCTAGCTTACTAGGGGTGTGCGCGGTGCGGTTTAGAGCCAAAACCGCAAACCGCACCACATATGCAATTTGAGTTATTTAGAAACCGCAAACCGCACCGCGAACGTTCAAAACCGCATTATGCGGTGCGGTTTGGTGCGGGCGGTTTATATGGTTTACATGCGGTTTTGCGGTTTGACTAATTATTTACTTTAAATTTAATGATAATACTATCATTGTCATCACTAAAGGCTCACTAAGTGGTCATTAAGAAATTGATTTTGTGGTCAAATAATTGTGGTCATTAACTACTTATGAATATACATAAGTTAAGAAAACACAGTGATCATAAAATAATGGTCACTGAATTTTAGTTGAAAATGAATTTTAGACAAAAAAATATGGTAACTGCGTAAAATTTTAGATTAATTAAGATTACATTTTAAAAACATAAGATAATGTCACTGATTTAGGACATATCAAAATATTTTCGAATATATATATATATATATATATATATATATATATATATATATATATATATATATATATATATATATATATATATATATATATATGATCATTAATTGATTTTATCAATGCGGTGCGGTTTAAACCGTAATTGTGTAATCGTAAACCGCAAACCGCACCGCATAATGCGGTTTAACAAAAATACAAACTGCAAACCGCACCGCGGGTGTTTTAAACCGCGTTATGCGGTGCGGTTTGGTGCAGTGCGGACGGTTTATGCGGTTTGTGTGGTTTATTGCACACCCCTATAGCTTACCATAGTTTTAATCTATGGAAAAAGTAATTTGGTTTGTAAAACTAATGAGAGTGGTTACGCAAAAATGTAAACCAACATTAATGTTTAGGAAGTTGATTTCGTTTAGTATTTCTAACTTAATACTTTTAGTTTAAAAATTAAAATAATATGAACGAATTTTCTCGTAATAATTTCATGTTCTAATAAATAAACAATAATAAATTTCTTAAGTAGTTGTAAAAATAAAGCAACGAACACAAACTCTAATCAATAGTTGTCTTATGAAATTTTTTAGGCTTATTAACAAACTACAATGAATTATTATTTTAACATTTTCAATTATTATTTTAATATTTCTACTTGAAAAACTCACATTAGTACAAAGCAAAAATCTTCTTAACCAACTTTTTTTACGCATCATAATTGTAAACTAGAAAGGTCGGTGATGTCTAAAATAGAAATGTACTTTTATGTTTTGTCTAATAAAGGCATGTACTTTCATATGCACAATATAAGTTGGTTTCTTTGAAAGACTGGTGTATCTTTCTTCTCCGGGTCCATAAATAGCAGCCGTAACGAATCACAGATGTGCAAAAAAATTCCCCTCTTTTTTTTCCTATAAAACAATAGCCAACAAAAAATTGGGTAAACAAATGTCAAAGTGTTTTAAAATTAAAGATAAGGCATTGTAACTGTAAAATATTTAGGTACATGTCTATAATAGCCACACATTAACATCACTTTTTACCTTCCACCTAAAAAACCAATGAAAAGGCATCTGATTTGAACAAAAGAAAAAACAAATAAAAAGGACCAATCACAATCCCTTATTCTCTTCACAACTTTTTCTTTCCTCTTTCTAATAAGGCAGCGGGCCTCACCTGGCGACTTGCTTAGCACATCTTAGGGAGTGGACTTGGCGAGCTTGGCCAGCGAGCTACTCCCTCCAGCCTAATAGTAAAAATGTACATTACTATTTCCTGCAATTTGAAACAGATACAAGTTGGTTAATTTTCCTGCTATATGTACATTTGACGTATTTTAAGTCTGATAATTCTCTTTTTAGTGGCTGTTTGGAGGTTCTAACGCTTTTGCCTTTGGTTTTTTTCTTCTCCCGTTGACATTCACCACACCGGCTAGTAAATGTGTTTTCTCATCTATCTTAACACAAAACTATAACAAAAGAAAGCAATAAGTCACCAAATGGTGAAGTTGTAGAAACAGTCATTCAAAAATTACCTGTTTAGCACTGACCTTTGCCTTGCGTATGCTTATCATATGTATCAGCAACCGGCCATTTAAAATTTCCAGCTCCTGTTTATAGAAAAATATGGATTTTAATTGGGACTATGCAGCATATATCACCCATAACAACTATATACTAAGAATTTGGGAAGACATCTTAGACAAACATACCATTATGGGGTAATTAAAGAACTATATGTAATTTTTCGGTTTAATAAGGCTAACTTATGTCAAGAAAAATATCAACAAAAACTTGATAGATTTTTGTTAAGAAAATTCTTATAAGATTTTGTCATTTTGATGATTTGCACAGCACTTTTACAGCGACAATCTAATGTATTTTTAACCATAAGTTAATATTTAATACTTTATATCAACCGACCAATTATGCGCTAATGAACCCCATTTAGAATGAAATGAACCTTACATTGTAATGTAGCACATGAAATCCTATTGAAGTAGATCAACTCATTAGTTGACAAACTCCTTGCAACATAAAAGAATCGAGTGATTGAACCATGATTTCCAATGAAAAAAATTAATTTTACGTTAAAAGGTTTCAGTTAAGCCTGAAATTTCCTTTAATAACCTGCTGTTAAGCTGCCACCACTGCAAAAAAAAAAAACCCAAAAAAAACCCCAAAAAAAAACCTCAAAAAAAAATGGTCAAATAGAATGATATTGTTTTTTCTGGAATTTGGCTGATATTCAAAAGACTCTTAATTTTCACAAATAACTGGAGATATAGGACTACAATTAAAGTACCAAGAAGAAAGCTTTGAGAGTCGGTTAATCATGAAAGCAGAGTTCATTTTTTCTGGAAATACCTGCGAATAGATAGAACACAGGGCCTTATGTTATATTTTAATTCAATTTTACATTGATGACAAGTTAGTGTATTTACATAAAGGAAGTGCTCATTATAGTGATAACTAACTTACTAACAATAAAACTTCAAACTTAGTTATATTTTAATAATTTTGTTGGAACATCAGTTGCTTCAAGTAATATAATTATTTATTATCTCATTTTCTAAATGATTTAAAAAAAAAGGAAAAAACATCGTATTTCTTATTTTTAAAATTAAAAAGAGAAAACTTTTTACAACTGATCAATCTTAGGCTCTTGCTTCATTCTGCAGATATCATCACAGCTAACAAAAGTATATAAATATGATGACCTTGTATCTACAACGGAAAAGGTTTTCTTTTCAAAAATTAGTTGAAACCAAACTACCTTTTCTTTAAACAGATAAAAGAATCAAAAAAAAAAAAAATACCTTCATCTTTTAACGGTGCAGGCTACCCGTTTAGTACTGGCACCTTCAATAAACAAAAATGACAAAAAGTTAGTACAAGGGCAATTAGGTAAATTATCTTTAATCAGTGCAGATAAATATCAAAGTAGCAACTTATTCTTCTTTTATTTCGGGTCCACTTTGGCTCTTGCATCTTTGAAGGCATAGTACTCTTTTTCCCGTAGTTGTTTTTGGGTTCCGTGGGACAATTTTGCCCCTGCCTTATTTTTTGTTCAATTTTTGCCCTTAATAAAAAGCTTGTTCCAGAAGGCAATTGATTGGAAATGCTTATGGAAGTGATTCGTTAAAACAAATAATACACTGAAAGCAAGGTTATATGAAGATAAACTTACAAAAAAAAAACCTTTCTAGAAATCACATTGAAAGAGTCCAGTACAACCTCTCATTGTGAAGTACTATCAAACCTAGACAACAAACCCAAATTGAATCAATAAACATATTAATAAAGTGAGAACGGAAGGGAAGAAATAGAGCCAAACACAGAAAAGCCAAATTCATCATTAATTTAACCAAAATTGAATCAATAAACATATTAATAAGAAACTGAAAAAGAAACTTACATGATGAATGGAAGCTGCAGGGGCTGGGAAATTCGAAGGTTGAAGTCAATAACATAGAGTCAATCGGAAGGCACAATAAGACATATAAGGGCACAGTAGAGTGAGAACGGAAGGGAATAAATAGAGTCGGCAATGGAATAAAACCTGGATTCGTTCAAATCGTCCGCCTTACGAAACCCGGAAGATCAGTTATGAGGAGGTCTCCCTCTGTTTTTCAAGGGTGTAGTTCCTATGTCTCCTTCTCTTTTTCTTTACAACAAAATCGTTTGCACTTCTATGAGTTGTAATCGACATTACACCACCACAAAGTGCAGAAATTGAAAGATAGAAAGGAGGAGGGGTTTTTTTGGTCGTATAATTAGGCGGTGCACCAACAGAAGTCTACTAATCTGGGGAGACAGTGACGGGGAATAACGGTGAGGAAGGATACTTTTGGTTTTCATCGAAGAGACGTTTACCCTGGAGTCGAAGTCGGACGGTGATTCCTACTGAACCCTAATCGAATAAAAAACCCTTCGCTATCCGCTACCGGAGCAACCCCTTTCTTCCATCACAGTTGACGACAGCTCCTGCTGAAGCCTTCGTCCTTCTTCTCCGATCAAGCTAAGAGTCGGTGGAGGTCAACTACCAGACGAAGACTACACCACAAAGGGGCCACCGGAGGTCAACTACTTATACAGAGCGTCTGATTGATCGGTGATACCTTCATAAGAATTCAGAATGAAATCGATTTGAGGTATTAGGAGATTGATTTGATACCTGAGAAGGAGAAGACGCTGGTGGTTTCTTCTATTGCGATGATCTATGGCGATGGCCTGAGGTGGATCGAAATTGGAGCGGAAGGGCTTCGGCTCTGGTGGCGATTATAGCCATGAACGGTGGTGATGTAGGGAACATCTTTGAAGAAGACGGAACTGAAGCGTAACGCCTTCGGACATTCCACAACGGCTGTAGAGCTCATCGGAGAGAGCTATGTTGAGAACACCCAAAACGATGCTCAATTGACAAGTCGTACACGAAAGAAATTAGCGTACCAGGTGGAGGTGGGTTGGGGAAAGTCGTCGCTTGGAAGAGCATCGGAGTGTGGAAGGAACTGGAAGGCAAAAGTCCATTAGTGGAGGCGGTGGATCGTGTTAAGCGACCCAAAAACGTATCCAGGAGGATCGAATGGAGTCGGTGGTGTGAATGTCGCAAAGATAAACATGACGAAGAGGGTTGGGGAGAAGGTCCTAGAAGGTAGAGAGAGGAAAACCATAGGCGGTGGCAGCGGTGGTAAAAGAGAAGATGACACGTTTGCTGAATGAACAGTGGTGGTGAAAGAGAAGAGTGACGTAGACGACCCATGGACTGAACATTAAGCACTGTTATTCTTGCAAGGACCAAATTGCCATTTCAATAAATAGCTGGACCAATTCCGATTTACAGCAAATGAAAGGGATCAATTATGCCAAATCCTAATGCAGTATACTGTTACTATTTTGCAGAACTTTAATATATATATATATATATATATATATATATATATATATATATATATATATAATCATTGGTCATGTGTCATATTCAGCTCATGCACCATCGTTTATATATATATATATATATATATATATATATATATATATATATATATATATATCTTTCTGTGTGTATGTATGTATATATGTATATATATAAGTATATATATATATATATATATATATCACGATATGAAGGAGTGGACTGTTTAATTTTCTACGTGAAGAATGTAGATGGAGATGTGTACCTATTTATAGGAAAACATATGGATGCCCGGATTTTAATGGGCCATGGTCATCCATAATTCGTTGATAGATGGAAACAGCCAATCAAAGGACGCTATACAACTGCTTTTAGAATCTTCAATGTTGAGGAGTGTGCATGCCCACTTGCCATGCACTTTAGCATGTTCAACATTTTCCAAAAGATCAATACCAACACATTTTCAGCTCCAGCAACACATTGTCAACTCCAGCAGTGCATTCTCCAACTGTTGGAGCGTATTCAAGAACAAAGCATCACCTATACATGACCCCAATAGATTTACCAAGTAACATGGACACATTCAGAAGGGTGAAGCTCATTATGATTATGGTGTAGTGCATTCAGTTAAGGCAACACATAGTTGTGAGTGATAGATCGTATTTGGATACCTAAAGAGCATTTTGATGCTTCCAACGCATTCTCTAAATGTCATAGGTTTTTCTCTAAATGTCGGGAAAGTTTGAGGAGTTAACATATTTCCATTAAGAGGGAATTCTCTGACCAAGGGAGCACCTTCTCTGACCAAGGGCATATTTTCTCACAATGAGTACATTTGTTCACCAAGAGCACATTTGCTCACAATGAGTACATTTGCTCACCAAGAGCACATTTGTTCACCAAGAGCACATTTATCCTTCCAGAGCACATTTACTCTCGAAGAGCACCTTTACTCATCAATGGCAACTTTCCTTTTCTCACCAGTATCACATTTACTCTCCAAGAGTAGCTTTTCTCACCATGACCACATTTGCTCACCAATAGCACCTTTTTGTCAAGACTTCACACCACAACAATATCTTACTTAAAGGATTGAACAACTTAGTCATTCTCGCTCATTCAAATCTTCAACATTCCTCTCTCTCTCTCTCTCTCTCTCTCTCTCTCTCTCTCTCTCTCTCTCTCTCTCTCTTCTTCTCCTTCCAACCATCTCTCTTAAACTCTTGGAAGTGAAGTTAAAGTCATGAAAAACTTCAACTTCTTTGTGATAAAAACCTTGGTACATTTATCTATTGAGTTCTCTATACTAACGACTTTCTTCAGCTTAGGAACTCCCAATTTCACCATCTTGAGCTCTTTGGACAACTGTATGTTAAGCTCGTTGATATTCTACATGTTAGAACTAACAATAAACATGTTTTTACCTTTCAGCTAGAGGATGATGCAGGAGGAGATAAATTTCATCATGTAACAATAATGATCCATCTCACGTCTTGTGTACCCCATCCTCTTCATGAAGTCATTAAACTTTAAGTACTACTTCTTTGAAGTTTGGTTCATTCCATATAAACTTTCCTTCTTCTTGTACACCTGATTTTTCTTACCAACTATGAGAAAACTCCTTATATGTGCCCTATAGAGTTGATCTTTCGGGTCATCGTGGAGAAAAGCTTTATCCATATTTAGTCGGAGATCTTTATAGGCTACTATATTCATGTTTGATTTAGTTGCAGTCATCTTTGCAACTAGGGAATCAACATTTCCCTTCGGTTGGAATCCTTTGGCCACCAATCTAGCCTTGCATGTCTTCATGTCATTTATCCCAACTTTAACTCAAAATATTTATGTTATGTAGTGTGTTAAATTCGTCTCCATATTTTTCGCTCACTATATGGAGTCTTTTATGACTATTCACTCTAGATATGACTCATGTACATAGTTCTCACACAACAAGTGATTATCAGATAAAGAGTACCTAAATAGAGTATGTCATTCTCTAATGGATCTCTAGATAGCGGGAGGTCCAGTCTTTGCATCATCTACAACTTCTTCCTCTACACTACTTTAACATATGATCCCAGTATGTGTAGGTTTATCGGAGCTCTAATTGCTTCCATGAAAGAAAGCTTAAACATTACATTTCATAAAAAATGATATTAAACTCAGGTTGTTTTTTAACAAGACTATATTATTTCGGAGAGAATAGGACATCCCCATGATCTTCATAACAGTAACTACAAAAAATCATTATATATACAAGCTACAAAAAAAGACCCTTGAACACACTAGGCCAAAAAAAGAAGAATAATGCATATGAGTAGCCGGTAGAAAAAAGTCAAATATTCCTTTACATAACTCCATATAGTACATGTATCCAAAGCTAAAATTGCATGCTTTCCAAGCATACATGATACATGAGTTTTATACTTCTAAATTGTTTGAGGTAATACGTTGATGTTGGAGTAGAAATAGGTGCAAGTAAGACAGTCGTAAGACCAAATATCGAACCCACAAGGATTATCCTATCCTAAGATAGAGTGAACTAGGTAATTGCATGTAAAAAGTAGTTGATTTAATTAAATTAAGGAAGCTATTAAATAAAAATAAAACTTAATCTAAGGTGCTAACGAAAACTATAATAATCGAATAAACAAGCACACAAAATTCAACAATTTAACATTTATGAGAAAAAAAACACGATTTAGTTGACTTATACAGGTTCGATGGTTCTTCTAATGCAATTAAACTGTCAAACCAATTATGTAAAAATGAATAACTTAACACTAACAAAAGTTATCAATTACCTCTCTGATTCGATTTAAAACCATTTATTCATATCTCTATGTAATCCATGGTTCTAAAAAGCATTAAGTTGGATGTTTTGTTAAAAGTGTCATAACACACGTCTATGTTAAGTTTAAGTGAAATAACAAAATCATACACTTATATTAATTCAAACGATGTCACAAATAAAACTTATTTCGAAGTCAACATTGCATGAAAATACAAAAATTAAGCAAGACAAACTACTCATAATTTATGTTGATCAAATGATAGCCAAAATCAAATTTACCCATCAATATTCATATTTTTAAAATAAACATACATTTGAATATGTCATTAGATTTCAACAAAATTGGTTCAAACAAATCAACTACATTAAAATTACCATCTCACCAAGTCAACTAAATCTTAATAAAAACCTACTCCATCAAATTAAAATCCAAATCAATAACCAAATAAAAATTTAACATCGTAATTTTTTTACTCAAGTTTTAATTAGAAAAATAACTTGAAATACTATCTATTTGCCAAAGAAAATAACATGCATAAAAGAATTAAAAGGAAAAGAAGGCACCAATTTGTTTTGCTCTCAATTGCCAACAGATTACCATGCATGAAATCAAAAGAATCACTTTTCAAGCGAATTGATTGCAAGTGTGGTTTTTAGCTTCCCTCTCCATCTCCTTCTGTTTCCACAAACATAATATGCTGATTGGAAAAATATTGATGATGGTGACGTTTGTATGGCGGTGATATTGCCATATTGGTAATGGTCATGAACCGATGAAATATGATATGTGTAGAATAGATGTTGTGGCTATGGAGAAGAAATGGCGGTAGTGTAGGTTTTCCTTGCGTAGGCTTTGGTCCTCCCCTTCTGATTTCACGTATAACATAAAAATATAAAGCATAAGTACATTATTGTCCCTCCAACTTTCAGCCTTAGAACAACTTTTGCCCTTGACTGCACTTTAATTTCGGATTTACTTTTCGTCCGTAAACAGACCCCGACTTCCACATCGATTATGAACTAACGGCCGAATTTGACAAAACTCAAAACATGAAACTTGTAGATAATTCTATCTAGCTTTCAGAACATATTGAATTGCCTAAATTGGGGTCTCGAGGAGCCGGATATTATAAAAACATTGAGACGTGGTTCGCCTTTAATTGTTCATGATGAATTTTATCTTTTTTCGTATCTGTCAATTCCATTTTGAAACTATTTGGACATTATAACACTAGTATAGAAAGCTTTTGTTGATGCGGTTAAAATGATTAATAGATGTGGTTATTGAACCGCACCAATAAATATAGCATCAAAAAATACTCTTATTTAATGATGCGGTTATAAAACCGCCACAAAAAATATGACAACCGCACCAAAAAAAATGATTTTATCCATAAAAAATAAAGACAACCACCCTATTAAATGCAAAAACCGCACCATTAAATAATAATAAAAAAAGGAATCGCACCTAACATATAGCCACTCTTCAGTATCCAAGAACACCACCATACTTACTATATAAACCACCTTAAATTATAATACAGAAACAAAACAACAAAAATAACCCATGAATCATAAAAGTTATAAAGGCATAATCCATGGGCAAGATTCAAATTATTTAACCAAGAATACAATTCTTTCTTACAATTTCATCCTTGTATATGTTTTCATTTTGATATAATAACAACATAAGCATATTAAATTTGTGGTATGCACACTGCCTTTGGAAGATATTCAACTTTTCTAATATATAGATGTTTAGATTCGTCATCGCCTTCTTCATATAACCACTTTTCGGTATCTTGCAAACCTTTAGAGAAGATGTCCACCTCTGAATCTGTTACCACACTTTAGTAGGAACTCAAAGCTAGATTACAAAATAATCTTATCAAAATGTATACAATCCATATAATCAAAAGGTAAATTACACAAGTTATATTAAAGATTGCCAACACAAAAGAAAAAACTTTCAGAGATACAATTGTTGTAGATAAAAGACATGAGGGTATTCCTTTTTTCTTTAGTTTTATCCACATTTATATCTTCATTTACGAACATATGTGATCTCTTTTGAACTTCACAAGCTTCTTAGCCCAGCCCCTTGTTTCTTCTACACCCTAACTTAAGAAATCAAAGTATCAGAACAC